CCTGTTACCCTGTTACCCTGTTACCCTGTTACCTTGTTACCTGTTACCCTGTTACCCTGTTACCTTGTTACCCTGATACCCTGTTACCCTGTTACCTTGTTACACTGTTACCTTGTTACCCTGTTACCTTGTTACCCTTTTACCCTGTTACCTTGTTACCCTGTTACCGTGTTACCTTGTTACCTTCTTATCCTGATACCCTGTTACCCTGTTACCTTGTTACCCTGTTACCCTGTTACCTTGTTACCCTGTTACCTTGTTACCATGTTACCCTGTTACCTTGTTATCCTGTTACCTTGTTACCTTGTTACTCTGTTTCCTTGTTACCCTGTTACCTTGTTACCCTGTTACCTTGTTACTCTGTTACCTTGTTACCGTGTTACTCTGTGACCTTGTTACCTTGTTACTCTGTTACCCTGTTACCGTGTTACCGTGTTACTCTGTTACCTTGTTACCTTGTTACTCTGTTACCTTGTTACCCTGTTATCTTGTTATCCTGCTACCTTGTTACCCTGTTACCTTGTTATTCTGTTACCCTGTTACCTTTTTACTCTGTTACCCTGTTACCTTGCTACCTTGTTACCATGTTACCCTGTTACTTTGTTACCCTCTTACCCTGTTACCTTGTTACCCTGTTACCGTGTTACCCTGTTACCTTCTTACCCTGATACCCTGTTACCCTATTACCTTGTTACACTGTTACCTTGTTACCCTGTTATCTTGTTACCCTTTTACCCTGTTACCTTGTTACTCTGTTACACTGGTAACCCTGGTAACAGGGTAACGGGGTAACAGGATAACAGGGTAACAGGGTTACAAGGCAGCAGGATAGCAGAACAAGAGGGTAACAAGGTAACAAGGTAACAGGGTAACAGAGGAACAGGGTAATAGGGTAACGAGGTAAGAGGTTAACAGGGTAACAGGGTAACCTGGTAACAGGGTAACAGGATAACAAGGTAACATGGTGACAGGGTAACAAGGTGACAGGGTAACAGGGTAACAGGGTATCATGGTAACTGGGTAACAAGGTGACAGGGTAACAGGGTAACAATGTAACAGGGTGACAAGGTAACAGAGTAACAAGGTAACAGGGTAACAAGGTAACAGAGTAACAAGGTAACAGGGTAACAAGGTAACAGCGTAACAGGGTAACAAGGTAACAGAGTAACAAGGTAACAGGGTAACAAGGTAACAGAGTGGCAAGGTAACAGGGTAACAAGGTAGCAGAGTAACAAGGTAACAGTGTAACAAGGTTAACAAGGTGACAGGGTAATAGGGTAACAGGGTAACAAGTTAACAGAGTCACATGGTAACAGGGTAACAAGGGAACAGGGTAAACAGGGTAACAAGGTAAAAAGGTTACAGAGTAAAAATGTAACATAGTAACAAGGTACCAAGCAAAAAACTGACGGTAGAACGTATGCGAGTAAAGTTGGTACAATATATGTCCCCTCATATTAAGTACCTGCCCAAGTATGTAGCCCAGTCGACGAAAGGAAGACCTGATTACACGAAGACATAAAAATGACGCAACGACGACATAAGCCCATAGCGACGCCACGAAGAAAAGCCAGCGGTGCCCCGAAAAAAAAAACAGTACGGTGAAACGAGGGATGCGACGACTTTAAGACATGGAATCGACGCCACGAAGACAACAGACAATGACTCGTTGAACCAATTTCGAAGCGAAGAAGTGTTTCCAAGGCCACGAAATCTGAGTATCGATTTTGTCCTAGATCTGACGCTATAGGCCGAGCGGTGGTGTCAACTATTTCCTCGCGAAAAGAGTTTATATTCTCGTCGCGCGTGCAGCGTGTGAACAGCGCGTGGTGTTAGCCAGCTGGAAATTAGGGCGCAACCGGTCAGCCCGGCTCATTCTGGTACGTTTGCAAAACAACAACCCGGCACGTGCATCACGCTTTTTTGTGATTTGCCGCCTTTGCACGAGTACGTCATGAAACTTGATTTCCTTTTTCTTTAGTTATCTTCAGTCCTTTAGAATTACTTTCCTGAAAAATTCGCCGTTATTTGAAAAAATAATAAGAATAAGAGTGATGAAGTTGTCCATACATCCTCACATAGAATTTTTAATACAGGAAACAGGAACAGGAACACCCTGAGAAAAAGCTGGAAAAATGGCCCTCCACGAGTTGGTGCAATACGATGCCCAAATACTTTGGCAAACTTTTGAGCTTAATTTAATACTTTACTAGGAACCTTTACTCGGAGAAAATGTTTCTTTTTGTACTTTTTCTGTCCACTTTATTGCCACGTCTTGACCCCGGTATACAAATTGATAACATTTAACGGTGTCCTTTTTCTCTCGCTAATTAGCTAAACAAAATTGCTATCTGAGTCCATCAAACGAGTGTACACTTCCACTCAAACGCCATTTGCTTTAATTTAGGTTTCTGGGAAACTGCCCACCTACCCCTCTCTTAAGCTATCATTAACACTTACTTCTCACTTAGGGCAAAATGTTGTCTTAGGGGAGGGGTAGGAGGGTGTTTTCCCAAAAACCTAAATTGATCCCGTAATTTTACCTTAAAAGCCGAGATACTTATAGTTGTGGACGAAACAGGATTTGCACGGGTCTTTTTTTTAAACTGGGGACTATGATTTAGTAAAAATGATTGATAAAAATCAGCTACTAAGAACATCCGTAAGAATATTAGTGTGTGACATGTGACACTATGAGTCAGGGAGAATTTAACTCTTTCAAAGAAGTCAGAAAGAGGGAACATATTCACAGAAGACAGACACGTTCCATTGGCAGAATATTGTTTCAAGAAATTGAACGACAAGCAGATCTATTATAGAGGGTTTTCCTATACGATCTATTCATTCTGCACTTTGCGTTCACGATAAATTCGTGTGATAAATGGGTGGAGAGGATGGCTAGGAGTTTGGGCATTTACTTCTTGAACCGGACGCAGATGACGTAAAACAAAAGCACAAAACCCATGAAACAATACCAAGCAGATTTTTCCCTGAACAGAAAACAAAGAAGTCGTTTGGTTTACGTCATCTGTGTCCAGTACACGAGGTTTTGACCGGAATTTGGAAGCTCTTATCTGGACAAATTGTCAATTCATTTGGTCATGGAAGGTGTACATTTGACTATCAGTCTGGGAAAGTTAAAAACTATGCCATGTCTCAACGAGCTCATGCATGTTGAGAATTGAGAGAGTGATCACCTTCAATATGACTTGTATGTGGACATTTCATACGAATTTACTCTTGCATGGGTATTTAGTTCTCATGCATGTACACAAATAATTCTGATGAACACTTGCATGAGTGATTTGGACCAGTTTCTAGTGATTCAGTGGTAATGAAGGCCCTCATTTTCAATATAATCATAAGTCATGATCACTTTCATAATTCTCATGAAATGCATCCTTAATGACATTGGTAAACGTTATTTCTATTTCCGTGATTATGTTTGCACCTTACTCATTTACAGATAATACGGATGTCAAGTAAGATTACGTACTAAAACAGGTGCCAACACTCTCATTGCTGTAGTTCACCTAACAATAAAGATTTTTGCCCCCAATTACCAGCATTTACTTGTTGTTTTCACTGCAGCGTTATCCCCTAACATTTCATCCACTCTTTACAAATAATTAGAATAACGCTTGTTATTAGAGATGGCATGGGCTAGCTTTAAGAGTGATTTTACTTGAACCGTGAAACAGTTGCTAACAAATAGTGCCAAACAACAAGAGATAAACAAAAGAACACGATGGAATTAGTGCGTAATAGTGCGTAGTATTCTGCTACCTATTTCACGGGTCAATTGAACTGCCTATTAGCTTGCATTTATTCACTTTCACACCCATTTCCTTTTGACTATAATTACACACGTAGGAGGGTCAAATGGGGTGAACACGAGACCTTCACAACATGAGCTCCCTTTCTTAACAATAGCAACCCCATTTATATCCCAGAAGATCCTTCCTAAAGCCAGATCACTGGGTTCAAATGTACTCCGGCTAAAAGGAGATTAAGTACATCTCACCTTCCAATATTAGTGCCAGTGTTGAAAGCCGCACTCCCCAGTTACACAATTCACTCCAATTCACTCCCGCCCTCCCATCCCTGACATTTTATGGGCCTCCCCTCCTGCGCTTCGCGAGGTTCTGCGATACACGTATTTTTAGTACTGGTTTTACTTTTGTCCGTGAATATCATTTCTTAATTTGTTTTGACGCTACAGTTGTCGGCTAGGTTGCAAAATTAAATGCGTGGCGGTGCACCTGCAGCAATTGGAAGATGCTGGAAAACCAGTTGGCAAATTTATAAACACATTCTGGCCTTGAAGGAATTCTCTCACAGCATTTTTTAAGTTCGAAATGCTCTTTACTAATTTAGTCTAAACGCTCCTTGCCAGCTTTGACATGTCACAGCGCCCAACCGTCACGCACTGGTAAGAATTGGGCCAATCGTGTATCGTGAGGCGCGTAAGAAACCCGCCTATTATATCAGAAAGGCTCACATATATATCCTTGCGACTCTGCTGGATATGAGAACGAGCTTTGTGCTCTAGTTCGCAGACAGACGATACAAATGATTTAGAAGATACGTGGGCCGGCTACAACGCAGGCAGCTATGATTGCGTCTGGACGCTTTGACGCCAAGTAGTTTACAACCAACCGAAACGGAAGCCGTGAGTACACTAAGTCCCTTCGGAATCGAAAGGCATTATTCTGTCATTCTCGGTCAGGGATGTTGGAAAAAAAATCAAATAGTTTCAATCATAAGAAGTATTGGTGAAAACCCTACGGTGTAATTGTAATTGACGCTTACCGAAATGGCATTCCTGTGGTTTTTTTTTTCTTTTTTTCAAATGCTAAACAGGCTCTCATGCCTTGGTTAAATACCGACGTTATTAACTGCATACTGCAAACCCTAAAGCGGAAAGATGCGTCGACCAATAACCGTGAAATAGTTAAAACTTGCGTCTAGTAGGAGAAGGCAACAGTAATTCATGCAAAATGTCTGAAGAGATCGGCAACCACGATAACGCAGACAAAGTTCAACGGCCAGCTTCATGTCAGAAAAAGCAATCATCATTTACCATAGAAAGACGGGAATCTTCATTTTCGGTTGCGAGCAGTCAGGCTGAAAATGGACATTATTATCTCGTGTTCCTCTTGGTCGTTAAGTGGTTTGCGGCGGTATTTCTTTTCTTGTTAATGTTGTGCTGCGTTGTTGCAAGTAAAATTTGTTTGTTGGTCTTAGGACAACACTTCAAAAATTTAAACCTAACCGAAAGAAGTAGTAACGACGGTACTTCTACAGAGATAAAAAAGCAAGCATTATTTCTTATGCTTATTCTGGCTCTGATGATTCCCGAAGGCGTATCTTTCATTTACGCTTCATGGACAAGTTTGAGGAGAAGAAGTCGCCCATGGCCAACAAAAAAAGGCTTCATAACGGTAAGTCTAGTGACGAAAAGTCTGGCTAAAACTTACGAATTCCTTAAAGTTCTCATCGCTATTACTTTAATTGAACACAACTTTCCCAATTTTTGCCTTTTGTGTCAAGTCAGAAGATAATGCAAAACAACTCTGCATAGTTTGGGCGACAGAGGGTAATGGCTAAAAACACGGAGAGCAGAATTTGTTCTTTGAATCTATCAATTATAAGAATTACTTACAAATGAATGTAAATGAATTGCAGTGATAATACAGCCACGTTATCAAAGCTAAAAATCTGAATCAGTCAACAAAAAACTTCTTATCAAGAATCTGAGGGATGACAAAGGATTGATGATATGCATTGCCAAGCAATCTCACCAAGACTGCGTTCGTGCGGAGTTTTTCCAGGGTCCTCTCGGCGGTATACAGATACCATCGTCCCCCCAATATGCATGCTCTCTCGGCAGCCATTCTCTTGTCGCGTGACAATTATCCTCTGAATTTTTTAAACAAGTTCTGAATTACAAAAAGAAAAATTCTTTAAAACTGAAAACTTGTTAAAAGATAATTGTTTAAAGATAAATTTTGATGACACTTTAAGCGACATTTATACATGCAATCCAGATTGTGTGCGATCAGAATTTGAATTTGAAGTCTAAACATGCTTAGACCAGGGTTCTTTGAAAACTGCAGGTGCCGAACTACTTGAGACATATATAGCATCGTTGTTCAAAAAATAATAATAAAAAAAATAGGAAAGAAAAGATATGTTATGAGCTTTTAGGACGCTACGCCAACTCAGCGTAGATCAATTTGTTCTCTAATAAGTCGTATTTTCCTTTTGCATTCAATTTGGTATCCGCAAGCATAATCACAACGCTATATCACGCATCACTGAATGCGCTTCCGCAAGAACGTCAGAATCAAAACCCCTATGTTAATAACTAGCCGGTCTGTCCACATCATCCTCCCTGCCAAAATGGCCGAGAATTACAAATGCATAAAGTAGATAGAGCTCTGCAGTCTCATAAGTGACCAGATGAGGCTTATTCAGTACCATGACTCTTTTAAAACGAGTTTTATCCCGGTCACTTAGAATTCAAATGAAGTAGAAATTTTCTGGCGCTGAATTTTGAACATCGTACCCAAGTTTAGAAAGAGAAAAAGAGAAAAATTGTTGTGTTGTGTTAAACCTCTGAGTACTGTTTTTCTGCGACATGCTCGTTGCCATTGCTGTCTCGGTTTCTAGGGTAAACAAAACGAGGATTGCCGCCTCAGTTTTTTTATTTGTTTCTTTTGGTTGTTTTATTTGCTGCTTTGGAGATAGTTTTGAGCAACAAGACGATAAGCTAACGCGGTCGAGTGTTTTCAAAACTTGACCATCATCCATTGTCCTTTTTAATTGCAGATATTCATTGGTGGCTTTCTGGAAATTGTTTCTCTTTGTTATATCGTCTTTGTCATGCTGACAGTCACACCAATCAGCTCAGACGCCATTATTCTTCTCCCGTGCAGCCTAGCGCTGTGTTCAGCTGTGTGGCAGGTCATTAAATCAAGATCACAGTGGAGCACAAGGAAGGGAAAGTTGAAAACCTTTAAGTTTGGAGTTGGTGCGTTTTTCGCTGCTGCTGGTGCTTCATTGTTGTTCTTCATGTATGAGGTAACCAAGATTTCAAGTATACTATCGTTTCCCGATCATAGTCTGAGTTTGTTACTCAAGGCGCCCTTTCAGAACTTAGAGAGGTCGACATACCTCACCAATCTCTCACATATCGAACAGCTGCAATATCAGCTATTTTCGCTTTCTTCTTCTTCTTCTTCTTCTTCTACAGTTTGACTTCTATTCTACCGTCACGAATATAGAAACAATTCATGCCCACTTAAAACTCTAGTACTCTACAGCAGTTACGTATTAGTATATGCTGTAGATTGGTGTATGCTGTAGTTTGGTGTATAGTTACTGTGGATTGCTGTTGTTCGTATAATTCGTGTAGCTGCTGTAGTTTGGTGTAGCTCGTATAGTTAGTATAATTCGTGTAGTTGCTTTAGTTCCTATAGTTTGGGATAGTTCATGTAGTTGCTGTAGTTGCTTCTTCTTCTTCTTCTTCTTCTGCTACAGTTCGACTTCTATTCAGAAGAAAACGGCAACCAAATTAACCACGCGTCTGACATTATGTAAAAGGTTGTTTTTGAAAAATAATAATAATATTATACCAATGCTTATAATTAAAAATACTGGAAAATATCATTTGCAACAAAAATTACACTTGGAAGATTATAAAATCATGTATTAAATCTTTATTCTTTCAGTTACCTTTTGAGTGCGTTGTGCTTTTTTCCTTGTCCATCGCTTGGTCTCCTGAACTGCGGGAACTGCAAATCAGCAAGAGACAGAATTCCGCTAACGAAAGCCATGACGAGAATTCAAGAATGCGGCAATGCAACAATGCCCGTGGGAAAGCTGCCATTGTCATCTCCTTATGGAAACTTTTCCTAACGCCCTTAGTTGCTGTCATGTTCGCCAAAATTTATAAAACTGTAGAGCTCGACCGATTTTCAGCAGGATTCAAAGCGATCGATACATCAAACCCGTCTCTTTTGTATTTTGCCTTTCATATCTTTGCCAGTTTCTTTGGTTACCATTTTGGTTGGCTCGCCTGTTCGCTCTGTATGCAGAAGATTGGATACGCTCTTCCCTTGTCGCTAGCCACGCCCATCACCCTTTTAATAACAAACGTTAAAGTGTTCTGTGAGACGAACGCTGTTCCTTTACCATGCACAACAGAAAACCTAGCTAACGCTAAAACAATCGCTGCTGCGCTCCTCCTTTGTTTGGCACAGTTCATGACCACCACGTACTACTTGTGGAAAAGCCATGGATTGATCATAGCCAGCGCATACGACCTGTTTTGGATCCCATCCTACAATGGTATGTTCTATTGGTAAAGGAAGCTTTCCGTGCTGTTCATGCCTCCCGTTTGGCATAGTTAGGAAACTTAAAGTGTTTATATATGTCACGAGAATATTGCAGTTTTTAGTCATCGTTTAATGCATTTTCCCAAGGCAGCAAAAAATCGTTGTGACAAATTTAAGATATCACAAAAATTTCATCATGAAGTAGTATAGTCACCCGAACGTTTTGAAAAATAAATAAATAAAAAAAAGGAATTGCATGCAATAATTGATCTTCTAAAAATTATGCGTTGGGACCTCTCCTCGGAAGGAGAGCGACCACCTCCCGTGAGCGAGCAACGAATCTTCGCACTTCGAGTGGTCGCTTCCGAGGAGGTTCGAAAGCACTTCTTTTTGTAAATAGTCATTGCTTGGTTTATGAATAGGTGTCTGCCTTGAACAGTTTCTGCTGTTGAATAGACGAAGCAAAGCATCTGATGATGGGCAAAATACACAACAGAATCCCACTGGTGACGACCGACAGTATATATTCATATGCACGACGATGTACCGCGAAGAAGACTATGAAATGGAACAGCTCCTTCGATCGATTCATGATGTTGACAATAACGCTGCGAAAACTAAACGTCATTATGAGTCACACATTTTGTTTGATGGAGGTGTCAGAGGACAGGTTATCGCTGATTATGCGTTACAGTTGGCTTCATTGGTGGAAGATACATTAAAAGTACAACTAAGTGACTGCTGCAAAATAATGACCCCCTATGGCATGCAGCTAAAGTGGAGACTGCCAGGTGGAATGGAATTCACGATTCACTTAAAAGACAATGCTAAAGTAAGTAAACCAGCGATGCAGCAGCGATTTGCCAATATTGATTCCTTAAGATCACCGTGCTTCAATCATCCAACACCGAGTTTATGTTTAAGATATTAGCTCACTAGCTCACTAAAAGTAATAACACACGACTTTTGTTATTTTAAGTGATCAGGCAGTAATAATAGTTAAGGAAATAGCTTTCAGGTACGCCGCTAGCTACAACACGAAATGAAACATTAAAAGCAACAATAATCCCTTAACAAACTTTGGACATATAAAATGAAAAGCATAAAATATTTAAAACTATTTACAGCCTTGGATATTGGTGAAAACATCTAGAGATTTCAACAGGGTCAAAGAGTCCCAAGAATCCTTAATGCTACTAAACTCAAATTTCACTGGCCACATTTACAGTTCTCATTGAGTAGTCATATTGCAATGAAGCCTTTGGAAGTTATACCGTAGACATTGGTAATTCTGATCGTGATAGTCGGCAAGAGAAATTAGCTTGAAGAAAAAATATAAAATTTGTGATTTGTTTTTTCACCAAACACATTCTCAATCCAGAACAACTGAGCCTTCACCACAACAGGCATAACAACCTCGTCGACCCTACATACGCAATATTAGTAACCGTGATAATCGACTTTTACAGGTGAGGAATAAGAAACGTTGGAGCCAAGTGATGTATATGTCATATGTGTTGGATTACCAACAGAATCGTCTTAATGGTGAGAGCAAATTCTGCAACACCCCTTGATCTCATGCTGGAGAAATTCTCCTGCCCCCTTGATCTCATGTGGCAGAAATTCTGCAAGACCCCTTGATCCGGGGGGTCATGCTGCAGAAATTCTGCTGCCCCTTTGATATCACGCTGCAGAAATTCTGCAAGAACCCTCGATGTCGTGCTGCAGAAATTCTGCAAGAACCCTCGATGTCGTGCTGCAGAAATTCTGCAAGACCCCTTGATTTCATACTGCAGAAATTCTGAAAGACCCCTTGAACTCATGCTGCAGAAATTCTGCAAGACCTTTGATCGCATGCTTCAGTAATTCTGCAAGACCTTTGATCGCATGCCTTAGAAATTCTGCTGCCCCTGATCTCATTCTCCATGATCTCATGCTGTATAAATTCTGTTCTCTCTTGGTCTGATGCTGATGGCGCAGAATTTCTGTTTCACTGGTAACCAGGGGTCGCATAATATCTGTTGCAAAGGTTATCATAGACTGCAGTCCTTCCTCATCACTTATCATCAAAGGCTGCAGAATTTCTGCATCATGGGTAATCACATTGTGTAGAAATTGCGCATCATAGGCCGCGGCGCTCATATGAAGAGACCCTGACCCCGCCGGTTAAGACGGACAGAAATCTCCCGGGGGCAAACAACGCGTTTGACCGTGATTTAACTCTAGCGCACGTGAGAGATTTTTAAAAGGGCAATTTTAATTACATTTCAGTGAAATGCGACCAATCCTTTATCCTTACAACCGACGCAGACGTTAAGTTTACCCATGAATCTGTCGAGGCGTTAATAGACCAGATTATTGAAGATCCTGGAGTTGGAGCAGTTTGTGCTCGAACACATCCCATGGGGAGCGGGCCTATAGTCTGGTACCAGATCTTCGACTACGCCATTGGTCATTGGTTTCAAAAGGTCTGTATATCCTTACACTGTCGGTAGATGTCACAAAAGTAATCTGTTTCTCATTGCAAAAAATTGTCGCCTCGCATCATTCAATGGCTGACGACGGCGACTCCAACAGAAACGTCAAAAAGGAAATATAGCTTCGATAAGCAAACAACCACGATCGCACGTTTTTGGACATTTCTTTGCCGTCAGTTAAGACTACGACGTAAAATTGCCCAATCTCTCGTTTTACAGAGAACGTTAGAAAGAGACGGGCGACGTAATTTTCTTTCTCTTTCTGAAGTTGGATATGATTCCTAGTAATTTGTCTCCCTGACAATTCGCCCACATTCGACGAAGTGGACGAGTGGACTGGATGACTGGGGTTGAATGAGGAGAAATTCAGTTATAAGATAGTCCAAAGAGTTTGATTGAGTTGCATTTTTTCTGGTCTTCAAATTCAGCACTTATTTGAGTGTAGAGATGCGACGTAGAGCTAAATAGTTTAGTTAATTCAGTTTCTCTCTTCATTAACAAGAGTTTGCGAGTTTTTAAAGTAAGGATTCTGAAATCGAAGTTCAGCTTTAAAAAGTGATACGGATCTCTAAACGGCTTACACGTATCGATGCATGGAGTGGTTAGTATGCTATTTATAAACTGTGATGATAGCATCGCCGAAAGTTATGAACGCCTCTCTCTTTTTATACGCCTCCTATCCTGATTATGCGCCACCGCCTGAGCTCCTAATTAAAATAACGCCCTGGGCCGAGTTGTTCAAAGCTGGGTTAAGATAACCCAGGGTTAGTGCGGGATTTGAATTCAGATTTGAAAGCTTAAAAAGTATTTCAGTTTTAATTCTTTTTGTCTACAAGTTGATGATTGGAAGCTCTAAAAATAACGGAGAAAATTATCCGAGAAAATGCTTGTGAACACAAGAAAAAGAAACCAGGGTTAAATTTAACCCCGGGTTAAGCGCTAATCGGTCTTCGAACAACTGGGCCCTGGGCGATTGGAAGCAGTATATCATTTACGGTAATGATTCGCGCACACTTTTCAAGAGAAGTGTGGATGATGTATTGCATTGCAGGTAGCAAATCACATGTTTGGTTCCGTGCTGTGTAGCCCTGGTTGTTTTAGCCTGTACCGTTGCCAAGCTGTTAGGGATGTGTTACCGACATACGCTACAAAAGTAAACCATGCTTTTGAATTTCTCACCAAAGATATGGGTAGGTTAACAAGGTATATTTGTTCTATACTGAATTACGTAATATCTATCTCAGTAAAATTTCCCCAAAAGTGTTCTCTAGAGTCGAGGAGACTATAATAAATGAATGTTCGTAATGGCCATTTATCGTTTCTTGAACTTGGAAGTTGCTACTAGTTAAAAAAGCGACAAAATGTCATTAAACAGGACTGGTCAAACAGGAAGAGTTTTACCTCAAGTTTCACAACATTTGTATGATTTTAGACACCAGTGTAGCCAGGTCGTTATAATAAAACTTAACGGAATATAAGGGCCCATAAGTATTTGATGGCCACTTTGGCAAGCAAATTGGTTGACAAAACGTGCCAAATTTGACCAATAAATTAACCAATACATACAATTAGCCAAAGGTGTAGGTGAGCAGTATTGTGGGCTGCTTGACTGTTAACATCCCTTGCACCAAAAACTGGTTAAAAGCCTGGTAAGCCTGGTAAATCCAGACTTTCTGGTTTTTTTGAAAATGCTCACTACGGCTAACATGACATCCTTATATTGTAGGCGCTTACACCAGGCGTTAATACTTCTTTTTAAATGCTTAAATGGTACAGGACCTGCTTATATTGGAAGCCTTTTTAAATACAGGCATACACCGTATAGGCTAAGAGGCGAGGGCCTGAATTTGGAATTACCTAACTTTAATCTTAATTTTAAGAAGAATTCTTTCACTTATTCATTAACTAAGTTATGGAACAGTTTGCCTTCTCAAGTGCGTCTTTCAAGTGATGCTAATGTCTTCAGAAGTAAATTGTACGGTTGCAGCTTTTTAGAACGCGTCTTATAGTGCACGATTGCAGCTTTTAACCGTTTTTAGAATGAGTATTATAGTTTTTCCTAATCACATGTGGCTTTTTGGTCGGTTTTAGCTTTTTATATTTTATGTTTTTATTACCAAGTTTTTTATATGTATATATTTACTGAGTTGTTTTTAAAATTAAATAATCATAGATTATATAGCTGTAATTATTATAGATTTTATTTATACACGTTCGTATTTTGAACGAGTTTTTTTTTAAGCTCTTTGACGTAACGTGTTAAAATAAATGATTGATTGATTGATTGATTGAAAAGCAAACTCGAAAACCTGGTACATGGTTAAGCCTTTTGGCTTTATACCCTTGATGCATGCTTTTGAAGCCCGGTTGATAGTTACAATAACAGAACTTTTGAACAATTTTAATATCTATTTTTAATCCTTAAAAAACACTGCTTACGAACACAAAAGGTACCGTATCGTTTTTTTTGAAAGGGGAAGACCGCTGGATGTGCACCCTAATGTTACAGCGAGGCTGGCGATTGACATACTGCGCTGCCGCAGTTGACAGCACGTACTGCCCTGAAAGCTTCGATGAGTTTTACAAGCAAAGACGTAGATGGACTCCATCGACATTGGCCAACCTTATTCTACTTGTGAAGGAGTGGAAGCTGACACTGAGACAGAACGAACACATCTCGTTCGTTTTCATCGTCTACCAAACGTTTCTTGTTTGTTCCACTGTTATCGGGTAAGTAAAAAATTTCAACCATAAATTTGGGCTTCGCTTTATTTTGATTTCAAAGGCAGGGTACACTATGTCAAAAAAGGTCGTTAATTGTCGACATTGTCGCTCGGAGCCTGGTTGGTGAAAGCTTGCGCTCAGACGTAATTTACATCGGTTAGTAACGTCTGCGAAGCCCGGGGACGGGGTACTTCCTTACAAGAGGCTAATGGGAATGTACCGCTGGATGGGGTCGCATTTTCACGACTGGATTGACTATAATGGGGTCGCACGTTCAACAGAGTTACTAGAATGGGGTTTTTTAAATCTACGGTTAGCAAACTTACCAGATGTTTTTACTGTAGGTGAAAAATGGGTCAAATCATTTTCGGATGAGCTATTTAAAGGATTGATAAGGTAGTTACATAAATAGAAAGTGACTAAGTTGGGATCGCGAAAATTACATGGTATTTGCCCAAAAAGAGTAAGATGGGGTCTATAATTGGTTACAGAATCGAATAGACTATAATGGGGCAGGGGCTCCAGAGGCCAGTGGCACATACCCAGCAAAAATTAACCCCAAGTAAAACCCCCCCCCCCCCGGGCTGTGCCCGCCGCGAACTCAACGAATGGCATGCACTATATGTTAGCACACCATATAGTCGTGCAACATAAATTAATTGAACACTGTGCACGTCGTTTTGTAAGCATTACAAGACTTTGTACACAGTGTTTATTTAATTTATGTTGCACGACTATATGGTGTGCTAACATGTAGTGCATGGCCCAACGAATTGCCAGATGTGCGTTTCGAATCTCCTTTCATACTGATTGGCAAATCGATAATGGATTTTAACAGGTCAATCATAGCTCGTTCTCAAATCCTGGTAAACAGGTAGAGGTCGGGAACAAGGATTTGGGCGCTGTTTCGCAAACGTACTGAACCAGAGTGTAGTTTCGTCTGTGGCGCAGGCCAGGTTGGTCAGCAATACTGCAGTGTTTTTTTCTTAATGATGTCAATGATGGGATTTAGCATTTTTGTCAATTTTCTTACTATTCCAGACCCTCTACGGTGATTCTGGTCATAGTTGGTGGAATGCTGTATTCGGGCATTGGCTGGAATGAAATAACCATAGTTGTCCTTGTCTCTCTGGTGGTGTTTGGTTACACCTTAGTGTGTCTCCTCACCTCGCCAAATTTCCAGCTGAAGGTTTCCAAGCTACTCACTTTCGTTTTTGCTGTAATCATGTGTATTGTTGCTGTCGGTGTAGCTGTTCAAATCTCAAACGAGTTACAGGAAAGGAACACCGAGCCAACAGCGGCGCCAACAGCTCAAGCGAACACAACTTCCGCTTATGCACAGAAACCTCTGGAACATCACCTTCCCGCCGGAGTTAGCACGTTATACTTGGCTGGATTATCCGGGATCTTTATTGCTGCAGCCCTGTTGCATCCTAAAGAGTTAACGTGTCTGTTGCACGGTGTTTGGTATCTCCTTTGTTTGCCCTCTGGATATCTGCTTCTAACAATTTATTCCCTGTGCAATCTAACGGATAGATCTTGGGGTAGGCTTAAAGTACAGATCAGAATTTAGGGCTTTCAAAGTGTAAGAGAGGGTCTTCAATAGGTTTTTCGGAAAACGGGATTTGCCTTATTTGTAAGCTGGGATTCGGGATTCGGGATTCGGGATACGGGCTATTAGGGGTTGGAAGTACGCAGGGGATGCGGGATGCTGAATAAACATTAAGGAGCTTAAGAAACGACGACGGCGACGGCGACGGCAACAAGAACGGCAAAAAAGCAATTGGTTTAGATTAGCGAAACAACAACTTTTGTACCAGCATCACGCTATTTTGTACAATTTGCCCTCGTTGCACGACTACGACGTGAAACCTCCCAGTTTCACGTTTTATGGACGACGTGAACACAAGACAACGACTTTCTTTTCCATTTTCTGAATTCAGATACAGTCCTTTAGAATCAACTCCAGAAGAACTCTCCAACATTAAACAAATTGTATAAAATGCAGGAGCAAGAGTGATAAAGTTTGAAACAGCGTGAACTCACTTTCCAAGTGATGTTTTCGATGCTGTTGCCGTTGTGGTCGCTTAAAGCTCGCTATTTAGGTCGGGATGGCGGAATTGAAGAACTCTGTTGGGGAACCTCGTAATATAAAAATGATACCGTTTATAATTAAGAACAAGTGACCACCCGGCATTCTCTCTAACACTTTTGGTGCCATTCCAGGTCTAAATGTTTCACTAACATGGAGAGATTTTCAAAGCACTGAAGGAGCTAAATTCTTTTGTCTTCTTCGCCATAACTATCCCCCATAAACCATTTTTTCCTGAATAGAGCTGATTGCAAAGAATCGCAAACTAATTTTTCCAGTCTGGAAAGCAAAAAACGAGAACCATACTGAATTAATCACAAAAACCGCCATTTGTTATGTCTTAATTTATTCTTCATGATTTTGAAAGGTTAGTATGGCTGAGTTAGAAAACAGCGAGGATGACTAAGACGTTTAAGGTAGAGATTAACGACTTTGCTTATCCATTTTATATCAAAACTTAACACAGGCGAAATTGCATCAGAAAATAAAATCTTTTGTCTTGTTCTCCGTTGTCGATAGCCGGTTTTGATCCAGGGTCTCAATTAATTGACGCTGGTTTTTGCTCTTTCAATTTGAATCGGCTTTCCAGATTAAACAACCGTATCAAAATTTGTTAACTTAATAGGACAAATATATTTAATTGTTAGAATCTTATGTGTGCTTAACGTCTTGTTTTGAACCATATCATATTCAATACCTTATTTTATTTTTACCCTAAAGGAACAAGGGAAGGAAAGTCAGCCTCACAAGGGGGTGACTGGTATACGTCCGTTGGGGAAAGCTTGAGGGAAATTGTCAGTTGTTGTCAATGCTGCGGAAACCCAGGACAGTCAAACCAGCTTCAACAACCTTCCATGCAGCCCGTGGTGGCAAGGAGAGGGGACATGATAGACGTGGCTTGTCAAGTTAACATCAATAACAACTCGCATAGTGAGGTAGAAGACTAGCTAATTAACGTTTACAAAGGAGATCTTAAGATACACCGTTTCTGTAGGAGTAGGGGAAAACTATTTGTAACCAGCCCTGATTAATACGGGTTGATTTCCTCTTAAGTCGGAGGCTAACGGGCTAAGCTACCGGGTAGAACGGTTATGTCCTATATCATTATATCTGGGAAATCAAGGTTTCTTGTTATACAACTACAGACAAGCTTGTTCGCCAACCAGGCATAACCCTCAGAGAGAAACGATGTAAGTTGTTGGCTTCTTATTTGCAGGAATTATACAAAATGTCAAGAGGTCAGATTTGTTTTGTTCAAAACGTAACCTCATTTATCACTCAGTAATGTTCTTTACTTGTTTTCATCGAGCCTTTTTTTTGGAGTAACGATTTGAAAAGGAATGGTTTCTTATTAAGAGATTTTCATTTAATCAAATACTCTAGCTGTCCGAGCAGCCATCATGTCAAACATGTCATGGAAAAGGAATGACTTTTGGTGCGGAAGGAAAAGCTCCAAGTACAATGAATGACAAGGATGGTGTAAGGTCTTCCGCTGACGTTCAAAATCGAAATTTAAACAGAAGAAGGTCTGGTAAGAAACCTTCAAAGAAGACTGAACCTGAGAACAAACTTCCAGTTGTTACTATGTACTCAGCGGCAGAAATTCCAAAAAAGGTAAAATCGATGCGATCAACAGAGAGAAAAGGCGAATCTGAAATAACCAACAGTGTTGAATTCCTTTCTGATGGCACGGCTGAAGCGAAAAATGGTAAAATGATCCAGACTGAGTATCACACTGTACAAGAACTTTCTTTCTTGCCTGCTTTAAATGAAAAACATTCGTTGACCCGAAGGAAAACAGCAGACGACAAGGTTGATTTAAGAGGTGAATCAATTTCTGATCCCCACGATAGCTCTGAGAGCTCGATGCTTGTACAAAATAAGGTTCAAAGAGGTACCTCTGAACCCAGGCCAAGCAGCTTTTCAAGACATCATGGAAAAGAGATAAATAAATCTGTTGAGTGTTCATGTACTGATTTCATGGAAGGACCAGATTTTAAAGGAAAACATGAGTGTCCCCCCAAAATTTCAGAAAACACTGGTGATAATCAACAAGATTTACAGCATGTGTTAGATCGCAATGAGCCAGATGGATCATGCCGTCTTCAGTTACCTGGTAAGATGCTTCTTAGAATCATGTCATTTATATAATTATAAGCCTGTGATCATGCCCTCCCTACATCTCTATTATATCTTTCGTGATTTTTGCGTCTCCTCTAAAAAAAAAACGAAAACGAAAAACCTGGAAATTGCGGGCGACAAGAGGAGCCTGCAATCCTGTTATCCAGGTTACTATTACTCTTTCTGGCACGAACGTAGCCAGCATTCGTTTGGACTTCCACTAAAACTAAATGGAATATGCAAAACATCATCTGGTTACGCGCATTTGGACTTTCTATCACTTGTTATCTGTTCACGGACGTTTTTACCTTCTATCAGTGAAATATACGCAGAGCAGTCAGCATTAGAGCAAGAGCGTTTTGACCTTCGATAAGAAACTCTTAGTAATAATAAAAAAAATAAAAAATAAAAATAAAAACTCACCCGCACTCCTTAACCTTCGGTTATTACAAGCTTATACATTTGAGTCTCCATCCTCCGCAGTACTCTCTTATGTGCTGCTAGGAACTGGAACGAGAAGAAAAGTCAGCACTCCCCACCGTACTCCTTCGCGCTCACAGGGAGAAGGGTTTGCGCTTTCTGGAGCAAAATTAGTCATAATGTGCATGTACAGCAATTATATTTTTAGCATTGGTGAAGCTGCAACCAAATGATCTCCTGTGCTTAAAAATTAGAGCTGAAAAGTTTTTATACCTGAAATTTATTCATTATTAATATTATTCAGTTTTTCTTTCTACTTACATTTAATTTCAAAGACGGAGAATCTCGTCCCCAGTCAAGGCTCGGAGGCGAAATGTCCTACTCGAATCTCAACACACCAGTAAACGACTGGTTAAATCAGCTGGATTTTTCACTACAGGTATTTGAAATACGTCATCTTTAAACTTTCTAGGAGCGAATGAACTGATACAAAATCTGTCAGAAGGTTTCAATTCCTTTCAGTAAAAATCCATCATGCTGGCTGTGATAAATTGAGGCCTTTTCTCAGTTAATTTAAGATGATTGCGTCCTTGGGCTGTGACGTTAAGCCGTTGGATTTGTCTCCATCATCCTTCTTTCATTAATTAAAACGAAGGGGACGTAAAAGAACCGACACTACTGTTCCAAAAGAGTATGGGATCAAACTTTTCCCGGTGGTGCGTTCTACCTTTTACGCATCACATATCATTCATATCATGGGCTATGGGTGGGTTACATTAAACCCATACTGAATGGACTGATAGTGGCTTCCAGTGGCGCCCTTTCTCGCAAGTTTTGCATGCTGACGTCTAAATTTACTGTTATTAGCCGAGCTCTCTCGCGCGCGAAGCGCGCGCAGAGGAGCACCGTAGGTAAGAAAATTTGGTTATCTATGCATCCAAGAAATTTTGGTTCTGACAATATCGTCCGTACGGAGTACGTACACACGTTCACCCCTTCATGTAAGCCCGATTGAAATTTTGCATTTCAAGTACCCGCGCGTTTTGGCGGTAAATCGCATAGCCACCCATATTTTTAGAGAAAAAGCAACAACAACAAAGCCGATTCTTTCTTTCGACTTAATTGTAATGTCGCGCAAGTTGCAAATGAATCCACCTGTCATTTGAAGCCTTTCGTCAACCCTCTGTCCATCCTCGTGGTGTTTTATCGACGAAAGGTGAGCAAAAGGTACGTTTTTTTGTGCTTTATCTATTATTCCATCATTACGTGCGAAGCTTTTAACCTCAAGCTTTCGGTCACAACACAGGCAAAGCCATCCGTCCTGGTGGTGTTTCAAGTCGTCCGTACGTCCTCGTAACCGCTGTGGTGATTTCATGACATTTCTAAACAAATTGAACAGCGCGCGCGAATTGGTAAAATCTTTCGCTCGTTGGCCCCAAGCAATAGCTATAACTACAGCAGTATACAATGTAAAGAGGGTGCGTCTTATTGTCCTCTAATCCACGACATTACATTACAAAGAAATTTAAAAAAAAAGACCTTTACTACATCATCCTCTCTGTTCTCTTAACAGTCAGTAGAAACTATTGCTCTCTTCCAAAAAAATCAGTAGTTTCTCCTCAACGTGCGCTGCCTAATATTCAAGTGAAAGTCTATTTTGTGGACACTTTCGCTAGTTTACATTTGATGCCTCTTCCACCATTCTGCGTAACTATGGTAATCTATTGTTTTTGCTTGATTGCAGTCTGATTGTGCCAAGATGTTTCGCAACCACGGATACGACACCGTAGGGCATTTGTGTGGATTATCAGGCCAGGTAAGTTGTTAACAATAAATTAAGAAGTTGAGCTTTGAATGTCTGTCGGTTTCAGTTGCCTTCGGTCCAGCCTTTTCTCTTAGTGTCTAGTCAAACAGTGGTGCATATTGTTGCTGGATTGTATTGAATAGCATTGAATTATTTTTAATTATATAAACATTTTACTGTAGGAACTCGAGAGAATCGGCATTAAGACAAGGGGACATCGCCAATGGCTTCTGAGAGAGATCAAGAAAATCCCACAAGTGGATATGGAGGAAGGCATCCCAGTAAGTTATCTAAGAAATCAAAAATTTTGATGGAAAGGCGCGTCATTTTTTTCTCTGACCGTATTGCACACTGTAAATCGAATGTCCCTCAATACGGTATTCTTTTATTAAACAGGAAAATGTTAAAGATTGGTTAGGAGAGCTTGGTCTTCAAGATTATTGGAGCCAATTTGAATCAAATGGCTACAAGGAGCCTCGTGACTTGGTAGATTTGAAAGGGATGGACAAAGGAAGTCTTAAGGAACTATTTGACATTCGGAAACGAGGTCACTTGGACAGACTGGTTCTTGGGATTAAAAAACTACAAAATCCTGACGAAGGTGAATTAATAGCGAAGCTGCACGCGTGCGAGCAGAGCCCCACATCTAAGAAAATTTGGTAATCTATCCATCCGAAACAATTTTGGTAATCACGTGACCATACGCCCGTTCGTCCGCACCACAGAGGAACCAATGTGAAATGTCAAACATTCTAGTTAGTGTCGTAACCTGTAACCTGTGTTTAAGTTGATAATAGACATCCATATCATGGTCAATTGACAGCTTTCAAAAGAGGGTATCCGCTGACCAGAGTCACATAACCGTATCGCGGGCTCATGTACTAACTCATGTAGGTCACGTGTATTTTTTAAGTTTTCCGCGCACCCGTTGTTAGCTTTTAATTGATCGCAGGTTCAAGTTTATGTTTTCAGTCGTATGGTAGTCCCCTAAAGTTAATTATAGATATTTCTGGACTTCTTTGCAATCATGGTTTCAAGTCAATTGACTATGCATACATGGGAGCTTCGCTTTTTAGCTATGGCTAAATCTATATATTAATAGTATATGCATCCCTCAGCTTTGGAAAGCCCTTCTATCAGAGCAGAGGGAGTGTGACTCCGTAAGAAGATTTAAAAAGTCCTGAAAATGTTCCCTTTCAGAAAGACATATCGATGAGATAAATTTAGACAAGAGGCTCTTGATTAAGACAATTTATTAAGATTAGCAATTGGCTTTTAAGGTTTCACTAGATTAGCCTTATTGATAAATGTTTTAATTTATTATTTAATTTAGTTAAATTTTAATTTTTAGGATCTTAACATTTCATGTTTGATTGTACATATTTTAAAAGTTCATTTTTAAATTAAAGTTAAAAAACGTTTGAAGTTTCATAAAAGAAAACAGTCCGCCATAAAGGGGATTTTATTTTACCTTGATATGGGCTAGCTCAACTAGGCGAAAAATCTCTCTTAACCTCAGAAGAATCCCGAAAAAGGAATAGAAAACAAAACAAAAAGCTTAGAATAAGCATATTATCCGAGCGTTTTTGTGACTTTTTGGGAAAGACCGAGCATTTTAGGGAAAAAAGTAATAAAGCATTAAGGTGCATGCAACATTTTATACGAGTGAGCAAACAAGCGATCCAAAACCCTGATAATCACATAGGAAGAAGTGGTTAGTGTACTCAATTTTTTGCTCTAAAAGGCTTCGACCTCTGCAGTCACTTCACTTATGACGTTATCTCTCGTCACTATAAATAGGGAATAAATGAACACCTACTATAGGAAAACGTTTCTGGCCCCAAATCGATTACTAGAGAATTTCATGGGGGATAGCATCCAGCCCCATTTACATCCGAAGGCTGAGGTTAATTCCTCTTCTAGTCGGGAGGTTTCTTTGCCTGGTATACTTCTTAGACCATTTTTAAACAGTTAAAAGCGTTTGAATGTTCAGGTGACTATTTCTCAAAGATTTGACACGTTTGACTGTAATTTGACTTTCGTTCTTTTTATTTTTAGGGCAAATGAAAATCCGTAATACCCAGCGCAAGCTCGATTGTGTTTCATTAAAATTGCTGGATATCCACAACTTAGATGCTGAGAGTGAATTCTGGGAAGGCCTCCGTCAGAAGTGTCTTTCTCCGGAACTCAGTGCTTTCGATCAGACCTCCAAGCTAAAAGAGAAACTTATAGAGCTACGAAATAAGACGCTGATGACATTTGGTGTTATCAATGCCTTGTGGATGATTATCATTCTCAGTTTGGTCCGGCATAAAGACCTAAAAGTGCTGGGTGTAGACATTATAGGTCTTGCCTTTCTCACTATTTATGGATTGATATTTGTTTTACAGTTTCTAGCTCTGTTGGGACATCGCTTTAAAACTGTAGTTCATGTTTTGGCTCGTTTGCCCTGGAGGAAACTAAATCGTGTTTCGCCCATGTAAAAATATGTCCTAACGATGCAGCCATTCGGGTCCGTGTACGTGTACCTTCCGTCCATTTAAACGAGTGTGACACTTTTAATCATTGAATATTTAGTAATACCAAGTTTTAAAATTGTTTAAAATCGCGTCCTTTTTACAACCCAACGTGTTTTAATAAAAATAACTGAAGTTTTTTAGTAAGAGTTAAATTTCTTTGTTAACAAATTTTTCTCGATCCCCGAAATCTTGGGACTAAATAACAGCAGCTTAGCGACAGAATGGGTAGACTTTCTAAAAGTCCGTTTTTTCTTTTTTTTTTTTTCTGATTGGTTAGGCCATTTTAAAGGACTTTTCATATCTGTTTGGCACAATTTTTATCCTTTCGAAAATTCCACAGGTGACGTCACGACAATTGTTAAGCTTTTGGCCATGTCTGCTTCACCCTTCTTTCATTGGTCAAATCTACAAGGGGACGCAAAAGAACTCACACTACTACTGATCGAAAAAAGTAGAAGTTTCCCGATGGTGTGGTCAACCTTATTGCGCACATCACTCATATCATAAGCTGAATGGGTCACAGTAAGCTCATAAATGGACTGATATGCGATAGCGGCTGCCAGTGCTGGTGCCGGCGCCCTTTATATGCTGACGTCAGAGCTTCTATACTATTAACATGTTAAGACGAAATCCGTTAGGAAATTGAGTAATTTTAATTTTCACTGGACAACCTTGTACCAGATAATTCAAGCACATTACGTTCTTTTTTCACACTTTTCAAGGGGTATAAATGTACTAAGTTCTATATGAAATAACTGCAAAGAAAAGGTTCTTATGGGAGCTCGAGAAAACAAACTTCAAAAGATCTACATTTCACGAAATGAAATCTTAACCATGACGTGGGAGCTCGCGAAAATAAACTTCTAAAGCTTTAAAATATATTTCACTAAATGAAATCTTACACATGACGTTTTGTACCTGTGTTATGCAGATAAGCTAATTACTTCTATAGCCCCTGAAAAGTATAACAAAAGAATTCGATATGGCATAAAATATTCTGGTACAAGGTTTTTGTCCACTGAAAATTAATTTTATTCAATTTCCCGAGGGATGCCGTCTCAATTTATAATGTAAAGAAGGCACGTATGTATTCCTTTCATCCACGACATTCCATTCATTTAGTCATTCAGAAAACGTTTGGGATTGATTTGGGATTGATTTTGTCACGAAACACTGTTTGAACAAAGTCTGCCCTTGTTGCTGGATGTCAACAGTAAAATTGGTGTCAGTGAAACGCTCTAAAAATCGTTGGTTTGTATATGACATCCATTCATGATGTGCTTATCATTGTGCGTACCGACTGCGGCTGATACTTTGCCCGCCCATTTGAAAATCTCGTCACGTCTTCTGACAAGATTTGTATACTTCACTCTCTCTGTAACGATTGTTATGTATTTTAACGGGCGAAATAAAGACATTTATTATTATTATTATTATTATTATTATTATTATTATTATTATTATTATTATTAAGACGGCATAAAGGCCTTTCCTACCTAGCTCTAAGTAGTATTTTAAAAATGTCGTTCGCTTGTAGTTACGCTGTACTACAGTACACGTTTTTGTTTAAAGTCGAGTATGTCATGTTCCACCGAGGCTAGGAAATTGTGAAGTACAGGCTCTCATCAAGGACCAAGGGAGTTCAAGTACCCTTTAGCTAAGAGACAGATTGACATGGGACTGGCGGTGAGGGGGTGTAATCATGAAAGTTCTAGAGTGTAATCATGAAAGTTCTAGAAAAGTCGCGTGCATCAGCTAAATTCATTGAAACCAGCTCTGATTTGAGTCCAGGTTATATGACGTAGTGTAGAAAAAGAGAAAAAGGAGTCTTGGCAAGGTAACTGAGTTTTTTCTTAGCGTTTATTGCTTAAATTGGCAACATTTTGCTAGCGTATATCTTAATATTATATTTTTTCCCTCGAGTATTTCTTCCCCTTCTCGTGTTTGCGGACGCTGCCACAAACGACAAAACGGAAACATACGGACAAAGGATCTCCCACAGCTGTTAAGGAATAGTGGTTGCATTAGCGGATGCCAAAGATAACTCAACGACAGAAAGTTCTATAGAACTCTTGATCGTGATATTAAAGATGCTTTTTAAAACGAGCACATATATCCGTTGAATACATGTTTCGTGACCAAAACATTAAAAAAGATACCAATCAAATTTTCGTTCTCTTGAGCGCAGATTTTTCTCCTTTTAACCAAAATAAATAAATAGGGTAGCCCTGGGCTCCCTGTTTTTTTTTTCTCCTGACTGCCACTCCGAGAATGGGTCATTTATATACCAATTATACCCTAGAAAAGTTCGAAACAGATTCTTCAACAAGTTTCCCCCGCCGACCATAATGTTGACGCCACATGGATGACATTATTTTTTATCAAGGACCTCAATACTTTACCCCTTTTTCAGTGGCGCATTCATCAAACCATCAATTATGCTCAATTCCTTCAAGTTTATATGCTTTGTTAGATGTCTACTTTCTGTCCTCAAAGTGAATTGCAAAATCGTTAATATTTTGACCTATACCAAAAACCTCCTGAGAAAAAACACAAAACCACCCTGAATGAATGAATGGATTGGACGAACGAATAAATCAATGCTTTTATTCCCAATTTTTTTAACTATACATTTTTATTTATACACTGACAACAACAACAATAACAGTAATTACGGTGACATTATTACATATTTTGAATCGAGGCATTATAATAATTGGTATTTAAATAAATGAAATTTCGTAAGCGCCAACTGCTGTCGGTAAGGAGCATGTTGTTTAATCGCTTGTTTCCAATTCGACTAGGAAAATATTGACCCAAATTTACGTGTCTAACTGTGTTTTGACCATATTAAGGTTAATAGTGCTCAAGCTGATAACAACGTTAGAATAATGCCTTACTTAATATTGGGGATGCTGCCGCACACTTAAGAACGGAAACAATAACACTTGTCTTTAAATATGCGAAATCCAGAAAAAAGGGATCAGCCACAGTTGTTATGGACAAGGGTACTGAATATTACGCTCGAAAACGACATCAGGTTAATAACGATGAATTTCCAACGCGATTTCAAATATCTGCTACAAGCATGTTTTCGCAGTGACAAAATCATCGACATCATCATCAATAATTTATAATAAAAACAATAATTGCCTTTTAATTAATCATTTGGCAATCGCCAAACCTTGCCGCCGCCGGATGTGTTACATTTCACTACAATTTTTTTTTCTAGCAACAGCTAGCCACCCTACTGAACGAGTTACTCAGTTTAGGTGATTTGTAGACCATGATCTCAAATTCTCAATTCTCAACAGAGACCACAACTCGTTCGAACCAGGCACCAAATATTTTTTTTTTACAACAAACCTGAACTGGAGAAAATACTGTTTTTTTCCTCTGATTATCCCTCGAAAGGGTTCGTCTCTACGGAAACATCTCCTGATAATGAAGACATCAACCGGCTTGTCGACAATCTCCTGATCCAATGAAAATGGCACCTATTTTCTCATAGGACCGTTGAGCATCGAAGGGACAGCCTCACTAGAAAATGCGTTTTTCGTCCCAAAGAAGTTTTGGGATTTGTGATTCCCTACTGGACAGAATAGTGTCATAGTGGCCAGTTCCACTTTTAAATTTAAATTTGTTAACCTTTATGCCTTTTAAAATGCATACATAATTATTATGAAAACGTAACCGATTCCCTTAAAACAGTGGAGTCGGGTGCTGATCGATTCAGGCCGAGACTGACATGTCCTCATTAGACTAGCCTGAGTATCAGGCGTTTCTGGGGGAAAAGGGGAAAGATGGAAGCGAAAAAGGGATCAATAAATCTCCTCTCCCCTATCCCCTTAGGAAGGCCTGATACTCAGGCTATCATTAGACTGTTCTAGGCTTTTTCTTTGTAAAAAGCAACTGACTTCATTACGCATTAGTTTCCCCAAACTTCACTTAAGCGAAAAACATTACCTACAGGAACATAGGCCACTGTCATTGGATACTAAAATGAGTCCTTCATATGCCTTGTCTTCCTAGCCGAATTAAAAACGGACACTTGAAGATGTACGCCCGCGTTCTCCAAACTTACACAATGGTTCTGTAGAAGACTTCTACATTGTAATTTTCTTATACACAATGGGATTTACTCAACCATCGTGTAATTATTTTTTTCACATTTAATTAATCCTTTTTTAGATGATAAATGTCTCACCTCGACGTACGGCAACATCCATAGTTACCTTGGTACCAACACTAAGGACATTAAAATAGCCCCGATCTGATCTACTCGCAAATTCTCTCAACTGATCTCCGTACTAACTGTCTTAAAGAAATAGTGGTAGAATTTGATAAAAGATCAAAGCTTTTTCTTGTAGTTGATCATTTTATTAATTCTGATAACCTTTCCTTTTGATTTTGTGATGATATTCATAGGAGAAAATTGTTGTTGATCACTCTTGGGACTTTAACAGGGTACGCTGCCATTTTATTCATACTAAAATCTCATTGGCCATTTTCACACGGAATATCCGTCGCAGACGGGTTATCCACAGGGGTTCCTTCCTCGGGCCACCGTTGTTTAATATATTCATTAATGAATTGAATTACGCGGTTCCGGACATTTCTTTGAGATTATACGCTGATGACACGACTCTGTTTACATCAGATGTCTCGCCCATTTCCCTGCAATTTGTTGTGAACCAGGGTCTCAGCCGCCTGTCGGAGTGGTTCGATGCAAACTATTTGTTCACAAACTGAATGCCAAGACGCAAGCCCTTCCGATCGGTCCTTGCAAGTACGATTTTGACTTAACTTTGAATGGTTCTGGCGTTACTAAACTTCCCTCTATTAGAATCTTGGGCGTGGAACCTGATAGCATGTTAAACTTTATAGAGCATATTGCTAATCAGCTAATAAAGGCGTATGCGAAGACCGGCGCACTTAGGGGCATTAATCGTTTTGTACCTATGGACTTTGTGCCAGCATTCAAGTCTTTCATTTTACCACATCCAGAATACTGTAGTCCCCTCCTGTTAGGGGTGGGGAAAGTCCAGGCTGACAGGGCACGGGAAATCATTGTCTTACCAAGAACTCTTAAATATATGTAAGCTGGACACTTTAGAGTGTAGCTAGG